GGACGACGATTCAGCCCCTATTGACGTTGGTGGCACATCTCCTCTCTCAGGCAATCTACCTCCACCTCCTGCTCCTCCTGCAATACTTGAAGGACGACCATCGACTTTTTTGGGCTCGACTACACCTCAACAACCAATATTACCGATATCACAGCTGACCTCAAATGGTAACACAGGTTGGTCATTTATCTGCGGCTGTTATTATCTGATTACTATTTGCTAAATGCATTGCATTTTTACAGTTTCTCAATTCCTCAACACTTCTATCCCACCATCATTCCAAACCCAACCTACTTACGGAGTATCTCAGTCTCAGCCGTCTTCTTTTGTTCCACAAACGAATACAGCAGTAGCTCCACCAGCAACTGGTCAACCGCCTAATTTCGCACTGGGGCAGAACCTTTCAGTACCTCCTCCTATCGCCACTCAGCCACCTCCAAATATTCAGGTACGTCTGGAGGTTGCAACATCTACATTCACAGCTTAAGCGAATGCTTTTCAGGCATTGCTGAAATCTATACCGAGCCTTCAAACTATTCAGCAAGCCACTGCAGCTGCTGCAGCTGCTGCGGCTGCCGCAGCAAACAATCAGCGTCCACAGCAAAATCTTCCATCGGTGGGATTAATGTCTGCTTCATCTGAGAATTAGTGTGGTCATCCCTCCTTTCAGATGAACTATCCTCCTCCCGTTACGCAACAACGATTTGGTGATGTGGATGAGCGAGTCCAACCTATTCAAACAATACAAACACCAGTTCAGCCAATACAACAAGTCCAGCCAATGCACCCAGTACAACCTGTTGCCGCACAACCTCCTCCTGCCTCAGCTCCAAATTTCCATTTGCCTCCTCCAAGATCTCAACAGTCTATATATGCCGAAGAGGGACCATCGCACATAGAATATCCACCTGCTGTTCCTGGCGGAGACCATGGTAAGTCTCGTCTTTGTGTTTTGCCGCATTTGTACTTCATTAATTTTTTTCACAGAACATCACAACGGTGACAACAATTACTACGGTGAAGGTGGACGTGATGGGTTTTACCAAAAGCCACCGCCAGCGCAGTTCCACAATAGCGGAAATTATCCACCTCATGGTAGAGGAAGACCTCGTGGTGGTGGATTCTATGGTCATGGTGGTGGTAGAGGCGATCAGTGGAGGAAATCGTGAGTTTCATCATGTACTTGTAGTTTTCCGTGAAGTTCATTATTGATGTCTATCTTCGCATTCACTCATATTGAGACTTAGGATTCGTTTGGTTTAAGATTTTGAGGTGATCTGCTGAATTTGTTCTCAAATCTTTCTCTTAACATTGCTGGTGCAGTACTTTGGTGTATTCATAGTACTTTCCCTTTTTCTTGGCTTCCAAAATCATTTACTTTCTATTTTGTTACGCGGTATTTCATGGAAGTTTCTATAAGTTAATCAGCAGGAAAACATAGGTCTTTTTGCCTTGGCTACTCTATTATATTTGTGGCTTGGACTTTGCTCACGATCAAGCTTCTTGAAACGAGTGCAGTTTGTACATTCCCATTTCCACCATTAGTGACATGTTTTCAGAAACGTCGGTGAGGGTATCTCTCGAGATGAGCCGAAAATTGGCAGTGAAGACAGCGTCCCTATGCGGTATTGTTTTGGGCGACCTTTACCAAATTTGATACCTTTGATCTGATAGTGCGCTAGAGAACATAATGCTCGTTTCGTGGTTTTTGCATCACCTAAATCAAGCATTTCGAACGACATATGTGATGGATCTTTTCAACTCTACTGTGTTGTAACTTTCAGCTTACCAACTAAAATGTGGTATGAATGTTCAGCGATAAAATTATATGAACTAGTTGTCACCAACAAAGTGACTTGAATTTTGTAGACGCCCTCTAGAGAAGCATCCAGATTGGGTGGAATCGACAATCTGTCTAGGGAATGTGTTGACATGAATCAAGCCTGAAGAATAAAATTCAGATACGTAGGATCGGTATTGTGTTGTTACGGCTGGCCTAGATCGCTACTTGAATTTTATATCTATAATATTTCGCTTCTAATGTCGCTTGTTAGCTAATTGAACGTGCATCTTCTCTATCTCTGTTAAAAGCGGATTTGCGCACTGTATTTACTTGTTTTTGCATCGTGGTAAATATTATATATGGGCCTAAATTCTTTGTTAGCCACCTTCTCTATTATTATATGGTGTGGCTGAGTGGCTCTGCGGTCCTCTGTAGATGTCATAAGAAGACTATCGGCTTTTCGAGTTATTCAGGGTCACCTGAGCACGACGAGTGGAAGCAGAGGTATTATGAGAGAGAGTCAGATGACAATAATAAATAAGTTTGCCGCTAAAACACATGTAGGTTAGGCATTGCTTTCTACGGTATAGATCGAGTCGCTTTCTATCACTGTCGAATTAAAATGCTTGAATAGTTCCCGACTAGGTAGTGGTTGTTACTAAAGCTTGGTGATATTGGTAACAATGACAGTTTGATCCAAGCAAAGGTGTAACGTTTTAAGACCGTTGCGTGTCCATTTGGAACCGAGTAGTTTAATCTTAATAGAGCGGTGTGTTTCGTACGACATACTTAACACGTTGACGACAACGCGCGTTTTTGCTTTTTCTGGCCGCGTGGGACCGGGCGATTTTGCGAGCGCGGACGCCTCAGGTAATTCAAGCGGATTTTGAGTGCTAAATACATAAAACATGGGTGATGCAAAATCGAAACAGTGACTTCAAGTGAGTAAAAGCTTGCAAGGAGTATAGTAATGGAATTTCGATACAAAGACTTGAAATAAGAATGAAAATGCAAAAATTGTCAGAATTAGCTACAATTGACTTGAAAGACGTATGTGTCCTGCGCTGTCGTCAACGTGTTAATACTTATGTGCTTCTGTTATTCGCATTTTCTGAGAGATCAGTTGTTTTCATCTCAAAATTGCTTTTAATTTCGTTCATTGAATAGAACCTCATTTATCGATTTAGGGGCGATTACCGAGGTGGTCGCGGTTTCGTTGGACCTCGAGGTAACCTTCATAATCGAGGAAGAGGATTCCAAGGTGGTGGTTTCCCGAAAGGACGTGGACGAGGCAACTGGGGTAGAGACGATTACTGATTCAGGCACAATGAAAAATCCTACTTCTGATCGGGTTTACTTTCTTTGTATCTGTGTTCCACTTAGTGTGACATTGTACTTAGCTTGTATTGTTGTTTTCAAAACTGCATTTTTGTTCGTTATCCGGCTTAGCAGGGTTACTATGCGAAGGCCGATATTTACGCTCTCATTGGTCGAATCGTTTGTTATCGTTTAAAATTTGTTTCATTTTTTTCTTTGTTATAAGCTAAAAATGACTATCTGTGGTTATAGTACAGTTGCAATTATCGATGTAAAATGTCATTTCTGGTCCTTCTCAAACATTCGTGAATTGAATGAATAATGAAGCTCTTTTTAGTATTGTTTTGAAATGGCGTTAGTGACGTGCTGTTTGCGACTGCTCGATATTCATTATATCGTTTTGTTGTGTTTCAGGATTATTCTAAAATGGTGCCTTTCATTACTAGTTAGGGATGGTTCCGAAAGCTGTCGAGGAATTGGAAGAGGAAAAAAGCGAAGTCTGCATCGATGTCGGCAATGTAGAGGTGGATGGGCAGGATGCGACGGATATTTTCCGCATCCCAAAAACACTAACGCTTGGACCTGCCATTAGAAATACTCCTGAGCAGGTACTATTCAAGCATTTCTTCTTTCCATGGACGACTCTGCATTAATCTCGGCATGATTATAATCCTTCTGCTTCTGCTTTAGCCACCGAGATTGGTATCAACTTTATTCGGCTAACGTTTCGGCGCAATCGCCTTCTTCGGAGCCTGCAAATCAAAGCATATTTTTGAAACAAATTCATTCAAGCACCATTTTGGATCACATGAAGGAAAAACTGAGGGGAAATGAGTCAAGTACGAAGTCGTAACTAGCTAACCTTACCTTGGCTTGCCATATGACCCGACCCTGGAGGTGCGAAGCAAATATAAAAGTCGCTTTACGGTCTCTAAGCAAAGAGTGCCTTCTAACGTGACTCT